GAAGCAATAGGATTACTGGAAGCATTCCTAAGACAATTGGAAGTCTCAAGAGTTTGAACTTTTTAGATCTCTCTGGGAACCGTCTTTCGGGGCCTGTTCCTGATGAAATAAGAAGCTGCACAGAATTGCAGATGATAGACTTCAGTGCTAACAACTTAGAAGGCTCGCTTCCGAATTCGTTGTCATCATTATCTTCACTTCAGGTATTGGATGCTTCTTTTAACAAGTTTTCAGGTCCGTTGCCCGCGAGCTTAGGTCGCCTTGTTTCGTTAAGTAAGTTAATCCTAGGAAATAACTTGTTTTCGGGACTGATTCCTGCATCACTAAGCCTATGTTCAAGTCTCCAACTTCTTGATCTTAGCAGCAATCAGCTGACTGGAAGCATACCTGCCGAATTAGGCCAAATCGAAGCGCTGGAAATCGCTCTCAATCTTAGTTGCAATATACTAAGTGGAACAATACCGCCTCAAATATCTTCTCTTAACAAGCTTTCCATATTAGACCTTTCATATAACCAATTGGAAGGAGAGTTGCAAACTCTCTCAGAACTAGATAACCTTGTCTGCCTCAATGTTTCTTACAACAAATTCTCCGGCTATCTCCCTGATAACAAGCTTTTCAGACAGTTGACATCGAAAGACATCACTGGAAATCAAGGACTTTGCACTTCAGGTCAGGAATCATGCTTTGTAAAGGATTCTAGCAAAACTGATATGGCGTTGAATGAGACTGAGGTAAGGAAATCGCGAAGGATTAAGCTAGCCATTGGATTGCTGATAGCGTTAACAGTATTGATGATACTTATGGGGATAACTGCTGTGATCAAAGCAAGGAGAACCATTCGAGACGATGATTCAGAATTAGGAGACTCGTGGCCATGGCAATTCATACCATTCCAGAAGCTAAAGTTTTCAGTAGAGCAAGTATTGAGATGTTTGATTGATAGGAATATAATTGGTAAGGGATGTTCAGGTGTTGTTTATCGAGGTGAAATGGATAACGGTGAAGTCATTGCTGTGAAGAAACTGTGGCCTATAACAACTGATGAAGGAGAGGCATTGAAGGATTTCAAAAGTGGAGTTCGAGATTCGTTCTCAGCGGAGGTTAAGACGCTTGGCTCAATCCGTCATAAGAACATTGTGAGGTTCTTAGGTTGTTGTTGGAACAAGAAAACAAGATTGCTTATTTTTGATTATATGCCAAATGGAAGTTTAAGCAGTGTACTTCATGAGAGGACTGGAAATTCTCTTGAATGGGAACTTAGGTTCCGAATTCTGTTAGGTTCGGCCGAAGGACTTGCATATCTACACCATGACTGTGTCCCCCCTATAGTTCACAGAGATATTAAAGCCAATAACATCTTAATTGGACTTGAATTTGAACCTTATATAGCCGACTTTGGCTTGGCCAAGCTTGTCGATGATGGAGATATCGGTCGTTCTTCCAATACAGTAGCCGGTTCCTACGGATACATTGCTCCAGGTTAGTCTGACTAACTCATTAACATACTTATCTTTACATCTTCCGACAGATTTTCAATATTTTTTCTTAACATGTTGAGTTTGGCTTTGAAATCATTGCAGAATACGGCTACATGATGAAGATCACAGAAAAGAGCGATGTTTATAGCTACGGTGTAGTTTTGCTAGAAGTCTTGACAGGTAAGCAACCGATCGATCCAACAATACCAGATGGATTACATATCGTTGATTGGGTGAGACAGAAAAGAGGTCTTGAAGTACTTGATCCTAGCTTACTCTCAAGACCAGAATCAGAAATAGAAGAAATGATACAGGCATTAGGAATAGCCTTATTGTGTGTAAATCCATCTCCCGATGAAAGACCAACCATGAGAGATATAGCTGCAATGTTGAAGGAAATAAAGCATGAAAGAGAGGAATATGCAAAATTCGACGCGCTTTTAAAAGGTTCTCCTGCAAATGATTCCAAAGTTGTTGCTACATCTTCATCAGCATCAATCATGCAAAGTTTGAATACAAAAAGCAACAATACAAGCTTCTCAGTGACTTCACTGCTTCACTCATCTTCGAGTTCAAAGCTGAGTTTCAAAGGATGAATTGGTGATTTGTTCTTATTGTTACTATCTTTCTCTATGATCCTTCTGTTTTATGTATGTAAATTTTGTTACAGTTGAATTGAATTCAACAAATAGATCCAGAAACTGCAAGTGTGTGGCTTTTGGGAGTGTGATTGTTGTGTGATGACATTTAAATAGTTTGAACTTACCAATGTCCAAGTTCAAGTTCTCATAGCAATGAAATGTAACCAATGTTGGTGCTATTATTATTGATTTCAAATAATGATAATGAGTTTGATAGATGTAGTATCCAATATATGTGTATATATAGATGTGAAAATGCAGTTTTCCTTTCTTTTTTATCATCAAGCACTCTCTATTTCTATTTGCAAAGGAAAAAAATAGGAGGGATAGGCTTTGGAAACTCAGTAGAGTCAAGCTAGGTTTCAAAATTTGGAGGGTCTTATAAATTATCCATCAAATAGATAGTCATATCAGTAGCACGAGTTAAATTCATGAACTCTCGTCCGAGTCAATCTCTTATCAATATCTATCCGTTAATACTCCTAATACACTAATACTATTAATAAAAAAACTGTTTATTTTTTTATTCTTCACTATCATAACAAATAATTAAAGGGCAGTCAAGTAATTTAAAAAAATAAGAAGCGTATGGGTTTAAAAATTAGACTAGACTAAGATTCTTAATTATTTTTATTAGCAATAATTATTATGACTTTTGTTCAAAAAAACATTATTATGATTATTTTGTCAAAAAATTACTATAATTAAATGATACTATGATAAATAGTACTAACAACTTATAAAACAATAATCCTAATAAAACAAAATTATATAGAATCACATACCAGAAATAAACATTATTATTATTATTATTATTATTATTATTATTATTATTATTATTATTATTATTATTATTATTATTATAGAATTTCTTATCCCATTTCTTGAGGTTCTTAGGTACCATGTATGCTTTCAAAAATATCATGTTTCTGGAGATATATCTCTGGACGCATATTTTTTTACTTAACGTTGATTTTTTTTCAGAGTTACATCTACAAAATGTTTCCGTTTATATAGCTTCAGAACAAATTAGAATACATTTGCGGCAGAGAGATCACAGCCGAGGGTTTCTTCACCCCTACATGGTGCCTACTGCCGAAGAATCACCTTCTAGACCAGCTCAACAAGAAATCTTAGAGGAGTAGCAGTCTCAGCTAAACCACACTCAAGATGTCTTGCCTCGCTAACGTGAGATAGTGGAGATGGGGCGGACAAACATTGTCGTCGATTTCTTCCTTCACGGGTTTGACCACAGGCGTGTATTGGATGACATCATTGCGGTGGCAGGAGGGGCACTTATGTACCGCAGATATCGCGCCAGGATGTGTGAGATCAATGGCCGAGAACGCAAACCAGAGGTCGAGGAGGCAGGAGAGGTAGACGAGGCAATAGATACGAGACGGCCGATCAGATACACAGTAGTGACTGTGATGTTTTTTTTTATGTACTATATTTTTTATGACATTGATATACCATTTTACTTCTTTTATATATATATATATATATATATATATATATATATATATATATATATATATATATATATATATATATATATATATATATATTATTTACGAATGTATGTCATTTTATATTCATCTGCAGCAATTAATTTTCATATGCGAGCAACAAGATTTTTTTTTTTTAAACTGTTCTGATAATATTTCAGAGGTGTATCTCCTGAACTTTTTTTCGTAGATGTATCTCCAGAAGCATCCAGCATAAAGAAAAAAAAAGGATGCATCAAATGTGTATCTCTAAAAGTAAGGAGCATAAAAGAAATTTCGCTAAGTACCTAAAAGTATCATGTGTGAATTAAGAGCATCAAATCGCAGATATTATTATTATTATTTTATTATTATTATTGAAGCCCAATCTATTTCATTTTGAACCGGCCCATAAACTCAGAATCAACAAGTCTAAGTTCTATCTAATAGCTCTCTTATCAAAATCAACAAATCGGAACTCCCCTTGCCGGTAAACACCGCCGCTTTGGTCATCGGACGAGAAGAAAGGCCGTCTGAAACAGTGAGAAACTTCTAGGTTTTCCTTTTTCATCTTTTTCTTTTCAGTTTTTCATTTCCCTCTCATGTGGCACTCGAAAGTACGATTCCAGTTATGGCATTATTGGCAGCTTAGGTTTCATTTCAATCACTATTCTGTGAGGTTAATTTATTGTATTATGGACATTAGATTATGCCATGAGATTGCATTTTCCAACTAGCTTCTATGTTGAATCTTTCTTTTTAGATTGTGTGTTTATCAATAATCTTAAGCTCTGATACACAAAAATGTTGAATTCTTGATTGCTTTGTCTTCTAATTGTAAGCAGTTTAAGCTAATACCACGGTAAGCTTATAAGTTTGTAAGTTGCTAGCCTTCAAAAAGCTGGTCAATTTAAGTGCAAAGGACTATTTTGATCTCTGAAGCACGGACATCTCTGAAAAAGGTGGGTCAGTGTTGTCACCTACACTGGCAATTATGTTTAATTTATTCATGTTTTCAAATTATCACTGGTGTCAACACTGTGTTGGTGTCGTGTTTCCGCCGTCTGTGCTTCATAGATTCTGATACACGGCTATAAATTTTTTTGAGATTCAGCGATCTGAGATTAACAACATAGGTCTATGCACTTTTTGTATGGTTGAACTTTTATGGCCCTGGCTCAAGTGAGTCAAGATGAGTGTGCTGGGTTAAATACTTAAATTGACAGTTCTGTTTAATTCACCGACATTATTTTTATAAGGAAATAATTCTATGGTTCTTTTTTTATTATGTATTATTACTAGCATTACTGTAAATTTATGTGATTTGATTGCATTATATCTGTGTTTGCTGTTGGTGATTGTTGGTTTTGTTCAGTCTCCCATAAAAGAAGATGCCTCTCGGGCTAATTTTAGGAATAGGAAGGACATTTCGAAGGAAGCGAACATCCTCACTTGATATTCTATCACCAAAGCGTGCTCCTCGTGGTTTTTACAAGGGAAAGAACTGCCAGCCCACTGGTTTCCACACTCGCAAAGGTTTGTATCTTCAATTGAATTTCATCTGTTTTTATTTTATTTTAAAATCGAACGATAAAATACATGTTTGTACTAGTCCAACAGTTTATCACTATCTCTGGACTCCATGGCTTAGGCTTACTAGATTGCATGACATATTTTATTTTGGAACAAAATGCCAAATGGCTTCATGAAGGGGCTTTGTCTTCATTGACCATGTTTACTGATTAGATCAGCCACATTTCTGACTCCAGTTTGAAAACACGGTCCTAGAAATTGTTGAGATTAGGATCTGCTGATTTGGTTATTTTTGTTGTTTTTATTGTTGTAATTATAAGTTTGAGGGGCTCACTGTTTGATAAATGTTATTTATTATGTTTTACCGTGGTACTTGTCTTTTTCAAGGATAAAAAACACACCGTACCCTTGATTGATATATGGACATTGTACTTTTCACTGCAATTTTTCATAAGCATATTACTACATGAACACTTTATTGTAGCTTCCCTCCTTAATCTAATTTAATTTAAAGATTAAGCAAAGGGTTAAATAAGATATGCAACAAAAGTAAAAAAGAACCCTTTAAAGCCCTCAGATTCCAAATGATGTTGTTATTAGTTATTTTGAAATACCCAGCGCAAGGATGATGTAAAAGGAGTTGCAATGCATCAAATAACAATTCCATAGTTCTAAGTCAAAGAGTTTCCATTTAAGTTGGAGAAGCTTTTGCATTTCTGTGCCATTCTGCACTTCATTTATCAAGTTACGATTTCTCTGTTTCTATTTATTGTTTCGTCTGAATTTTGTTAGTCAAGGGAAAAGCTATGTGGACCCAAATCCCCTCTTTAGTGGGGGAAAACATTTTGGTACAGAAATATAAGGGGCAGAAAAACATTTTTGTTGCTCTAGTGGCCAATGCTCAAACATAAGGGGCAGAAATAACTAGGCTAATATTTTGGTACATTATCTCCAAAATCATCCAAAAAAATTTAATCACCTCTTTTAATCTAAAGAAAAAAATATAATAGCAATTTACTAGGCTACTTGCAGACATTTTACTCAAGCTAATGATGTTGCATTTGATCTCACTCTGAATGGAAAGCACAGGACCCAGAACTTAAAGTGCTTTTAATCCTTGTTCAATGATTTGTAAATTTGTCTAGTTTTAATTTTCTGTGACTAGATGAAGATGACTGCTCAGTGCAAAAGATGCTTACTTGTATTTCACTTTATCTTTATGATGACTCATAGTCCTTATTATTTTATTGTATTTTTGTTTTGTTGAAAGAAATTACTTGCATTTCTATGTCCAACTTCAGAAAGTTGTGGACTTTGATAGTTTGTGTTGCTTCTCATTTTCTGGATGTCCATAAAATGTGACTTTATTAAACACAAGGTCCGTTATTTAATGCTGATTTAGAAAACTCGGCATTGCTTATTTTGTTAAACCATGAAGCACAATTCATATTAATGTATTTTTGTACTAATAATTTGAATGTAATCTTGTATATTGTTGCAGGTGGGTATGTGGTGTTGCAGGAAAAGTTGCCAAACTATGTAGTTCCTGATTTGACTGGTTTTAAGGTTTGCTTCTTCACTCATTTAATCTTATAATTATATTGTCTTGTTTTCTTTCTTCTTGTTTGCCGAGTCAACATTTACATGGAAAACCATTCGGAACTCGGTGCTTCTTCTTTGATGATAATTTTGACAATGTTCCTTTAGTTCCTCTCTCTTGTGTGAGCTTTATAATTATGTTTTAGGCTTTAGCACAGTTATGCTACTAAATTTCTCTTCAGTTATTATGTTAAGATGTTTTAACAATGGAATAGCAAGAACCAAGATTTTTTATTCTTGTCATGTTAATTCTGTTTCATTGCTTAGCATTCTCTCTTTTTTTCTTATAAACTATTACTGATTCATGTTATTCATCTTTTACGCAGCTCAAACCATACGTATCCCAGTGTCCCATAGAAGCGAACACTGCCGAGACTTCTCAAACGGCTAAATAATCAAATTTAGTAGTTTCGAATACTTCTTCATATCCATGAATAATTTGACTGGCACAAATATCTATTTCTGTGATTGGATATATACGCTGAGATTTTGAATGTGTAACATGATGATTTGGACTATTCTAATGTTACTTTTCAACCATTTGTGTTGGAAGTGGAATGCTAAATAGACTTCAAAACCAGTTTAGGAGTTTTTGTCAACTATGAATTATGTAGAATAAACACCTCTGAAAAACAGCTTGTCTCTGTCTAGGTCGGGGTCGGACACCTGTACCGACACTTGTGATTATATTTAATTAATTAATTTTTTAAAATTATTATTGATGACGCCGTGTCAGTGTCGGAGGCATGTTTGGGGTGTCTATGCTTCATAAGTTATAAACGAATTGAAATGATTAATGAGGAAGCCAATTATCCCTTCCACTAATTTGCTTGTTTAGAATGGCACATTCCTTTTCCTGTGATAGCCGGTTACAGCTAGGTACGAATTGAAGTTCGGAGAATTCCAACTCATTTATTTTAGAAGAGCTATTATGATTATTATTTGTCATCAAACCAATGTTGTTAATTACCAACAACAAAATATTGGTTTTTTTTCTTTCAAATTACACTATACGATGGTGCTATAGTGCAAGATAACTCGTAGTTGACTGTATTTTGCACTAATATAGTGTATTATGAAACATTAACAGAACGTTGACAGTATTTTGCATTAATATATGATATAGCAAAACTATCTCTAGCTACAATTTCACAATATTGCTATAGCAGTATTGTGAAATTGTAGCTAGAGATGGTTTTGCTATATCATATATTAATGCAAAACACTGTCAACGTTCTGGTAATGCAAAATTTGATATAGCATAACACTTTAATATCTGATATTGCATTAAATGGTTTTATAAAAACAAAACCATTTTTATAATCAGATATTAAAGTGAATTTATATAAATGGTTTTATTTTTTATAAAACCATTTAATTCATAATCAGAATTTATAATTGATTATTGACTTTTAAATCGGTTTTAAAGTTTATATATTGCAACAATTACAAAGACCTTTAATTATTATTTGACTTGTGATAAGATAACAAGAAAGATTGTCAAAAAAAACATGTTTCAAGATTGTCTCAGTAAGTCAAAAAGCAATCAGTACGAGCAGTTCACTGATATCATATATCGTTGTTTTAGTTTGTGAATTCGTTCATTAATATTAAAATATATATTTTGTTCATTGATATTAAAATATATATTTTATATTAATTTAGAGATATTATAAATTGATATATAAAATATTATAAAATATTTATAATATTTTAAAAGATATTATAGAATATATATTTATAATATTCTAAGATTATAAAATATATATTTATAATATTATAATATATTAATAATATATTTTATTCTAATAACTAATGGGATGTGAGATTTTGTCATGGTTCTATTGGGTTTTAACAATTATAAATATGTATCTCTTTTATTACTGTAATGTGATAATTTTGAGAACTTTAGAGCTGAAGAGAGATCAGCTCCAAGCCTTGGTGCAAAGAAATCAGTTCCTTGATCCTACCGATTCCTTAACCGATTAATTGTCTAAATATTTAAGAAGTAAAAGTGAGAAAAACACAATAATGGGGTTGAATTGTGTTATACTTTTTCTTTTTTCTAAAACTCTAGTTAGATTCTAAAAAAAAATTATAGAATTTGAATCAATTAGAGGTAAATGATAAAAAACGGGTAAGAAATGAAAGAAAGAAGGAGACTCACAAAGTTGTCATGTTTCCTCTCACAAACTGAGAGTAGTCCAGTCCCCTTGTACTTACAAGATATTTCACTGTAACCACACAAGATTACAATTTTCTCATGCACACAAGTAAGACACTTCTAATGCTCAAATACAAAGTAAGAGACTTCTATGCTCAAGCACGCAAGCAAGAGACTTCCAATGCTCAAGCACAAAAAAGAAAGAGACTTCTATGCTCAAGCACACAAGTAAGAGACTTTTAATGCTCAAACACTAAGTAAGAGACTTCTAACAATCTACCTAACAAATAAAAGATTATTTGAGGTAATACACTTGATATATAATTAGAGGTGTAGATAAAATACAACATAAGAAGACTCTTTAAGACTTGGAGATTTCTAAGATGTACAAGGATAAGAAATCCTAAGTTAAACTTGTGCTTTTGTTTTCATAGAGTAACAACTCTTTGAATGTCAATGGTTCATTATGGTTCTTCAAGTCTTCAGATCCTTATATAGAGAATGAAAAGAGTCGTTGGAGATCTTGCACAAGAAATTCTTTGAGAAGCTGGAATAGAGACATTGAGATGTTTCTTCAAATGGTTAATATTGTTGAAAAGCCATTTGAAATTCCTTTGCTTCAAAAGAAATTATCAGTTACATCTCAGCTATCTATATGAAAAATAGCCTAAGTATTCACGTGGTTAGAAGAAGACAAACTAGCCATAGATTCTGACAGTGACCTATCAGAGTCACCATGATCTTTGCGCTTTGATTGTCCTCAGGTTCTGATCTTCATAAGTTTTTTTAAAGTCTAATCTTTTAAAGGTGTCTTCTTCAGAGTCTGGCCTTTAGACGTTGACCTCTTTAGAGCCTGATCTTCTGAAGTAGACTTCTTCATAGTCTGCTCTTCAGACATTGACTTCTTCTGAGTCTGTCTTCAATTTCTTATCTTTAAGCTTCTCTTTAGATGTTCACTATCAGAACCAATACTTAAATTATTCCTGAAATTTTACTCTATGGTCTTGCACACTTGAACAAATATTAGTATACACAGTTGCTCTTTTAAATACTTTGTTATCATCAAAACCTAAGAGATATGGTACAAACCAATTTTGTTCCAACAATATCTCTCTTTTTTTATGATGACAAACACAAGTATTTAAGAACAATGATTGTTAATTTATTAGCAAGCTTACTTCAGGGTTTGAGGTTTGTAAGCTCCAACTGAGTCTAATAGTTCATAGAATGATGTTTCTAAGCTCCTCCTAAGTTCTATCTGTCGCTACTGCGAAAATCGGCGCCGGCTGAACAGAAGAGTCGCCACCGTGCGTTATTTATCCCAACGGAGGGAAAGGAAACGCTCGAAGTAAACCTCGCGAAAAAGGGAAAGGTATGGTCATCGCAACCAAAACCTGGGTTCGGGAGTCGGTTACGCAAGGGGAAGGAATTAGCATCCCTCACGTCCATCGTACTCGATGGGATCCACGCTTGCTTGGTTTGTACGGATTACACTTCTATCTAAACTAAAGGATGAGGTCTGAAAAGAAAAGAAAATTTGACTCGGCAAAGCATCGCACTTTATGCCTACGTATTCCCGTCTGGAACGAGAAATCAGAGTCAACGTAGTTCGCCTAACTACGGGGGAAGGTGGGTGAAGGTTGCTCGCTAGGATATCGCATCCTATGCCTACGTACTTCCACACGGCATGGAAGATCAGAGCAAACGTAGTTCGGGCTACGCATGACACAAGTTGTTCAAGTGTCTTTTATGAAAAATCTCACCTTAAACAAGGGTTTTCTTATTTGCAAAAAGGTTGATGTCTGTTCAAATCTTTTGACAGAAGAAATGAATTAATCTCTGTTATAACCTTTATTAATGTTTTTCTGTTGTTTTGAAGGAAGAAGAGATGACACTCTACAAATCCTAGGGTTAAAAGGGAATAAAATCTACCCTAATGTTATCATGCATGGGTTAACTCCTAATGTCTATCACATCCTCCCTTGAACAAGGAAGAATGGAAGTCCTACGGGAAAGGAAACGAAAGGAAGAAACGGAAATACAAGTAATAACCGCATACAAGTGAACATGAATATAGCAATGGTAAATGCAATGCAAAGGAGGGAGGAAGGTTCATCTCAACCTCAAGCCCATTCATGGATGGAATAAGAAAATATCAAGTGATCATATGCAAAGAATCGAGTGAAAACTCCGAATGAAACGCGTAATCCACTATTTGGAATCGCAACGTGCTATCATGCAAACAAGTCGATAATCGGGCAAGCTACACATACAAATAACAGCCACCTAAGGGTCTTCCAATACCTCTAACCTATCTACAATAAGAAATATAAGCCACGGCGTTCATCACGCAAACACAAAGCGGCCGTTGGAGCCTTAACAAAAATAAAGTCCGTTCGGAAGTCCAAATTACAAGTTCGAATACAAAACATAAGAAAAATAGCAAAAGGTGCTAAAAAATTCAAATAAAAATCTCCAATGCCCTACATCAAGCCACAAACCAGGGGTGAGAGATACCACAAAAATATCCAAAGATAAATGGTCAAACAAGATGAAAACATTGCAAGATATCTCATGTATACCAAAGGAAAGATTAAAGTGGAGCATGTTAAAGAAAGCATCCAAAACCAATTAAAATGGTACAATAAAATTCCCATAAAAATATATCACAATACCTCAACCTGTGTATGAGATCCCTGCAAAAGGATTGACATTTAAATTGTGTTTTGATAGGTCAAAGAAATTCAACAAAATGATAGCACCAGCATTGGCCTTTTTATGACGACCCAAATGTAAAAATTCCAAAGAAAATGTCAAAAAATGGTAAAATTATAATTCCAGTTTTATTAAATCCTAGACATCTTAAAGATTCAGCACAAAAAAATGGGGATCAAAAAGACTAATTTTCCTATTTTTTATGATTATTTGAAGTCAGCATATAAAACAGAAAAAATAAAAGAAACATTGCAATATGAGGAAATAAGAGGAAATAACATGAATAAATAAAAGTGCATGAGGCTTATGTGGCCGATTACGTGGCGCAGTGAGAGGCGTTAGATGAATGGAAGAAACCTTGACTTGGAAATGCATCCGACGGTGTTAACACCTTCTTCTCCAAATCAAATTTTTCAACTTTGTGAATAGTAACCCGCAGCCCCATGAAAATGAGTTTTTTGCTACTTTGAAGCACCATAACTCCATCAATAATTATCCGTTTCGCACAAAATTTTG